CCGGGACCCCGGCCGGCCCTGAGCCCCGAGCCCCGGCCGGCCCTGAGCCCCGAACCCCGGCCGCTCCCGGACCCCGCCGCCGAGCCTGCGGGAGGCCATGGAGCGGCGCGGCCCCGTCCACGCTCTGCCCGAGGAGATCCGCAAGGTACGAGCTGTGGAAATGCCAGACCTCAACATTCGGAGCTCCTGCAGCAGTTCAGGGACGTTGCACAGGCCCGTGAGCACCGGTGCATTATCTGTACATTTCGGTCCTGGGTTGGGTTGGGTGTTGGGTTTCCTCACTCTTTGTGCGGTGTAATTGCAGTAATTCTATAGGAAGGCTGCAGAGGAACAGCCGAGTCTGTGCCGCTGTTGTCAGTGCAGGTGAGTGTCAGATTTCCCCTGTTCTGGCGTGTTTCGCTGCCGGGGGTTCGGAAGGACTGCAGAGCATGACATGTTCTAGAGGAGTATCAACACACGCAGGGACGGAACATTCCCCTTCATCTCCCCTCGTATCTTTGTGTGTTCTTTTGCTTGGCAGACAGATTATTATTGCCGGTGTAACAGTGCTGCTGTTTACATGGCTCGGTTTAGGAGGAGGCTGCACTCAAGTGGAACACGAGTCACTTCTTGTAACACTATCAGGTTTTCACTCTGCCAATACAACACCCAGCTGTCCTGTTCCTCGGTCTGCAGCTCATAATTGACAAGTCATTTAAAAGCTTTGTGTACTCAGCCTGGAGAAATTCTCCCTGGGTTAGTCCAGGAAACTGTTCAGATTTCTGAGAAATCAAGGATGGGTAAGATCGACAAAGAAAGGGAAAAGGAATACTTAGCCTTAAGAAAAGAAGAAGGGAAGAATCTGTGGGACACTTTAAGACTTGCAAGCAGCTGTATTGGTAGCAGGAAGGATCCCACTAAGTTTGTTTGTTTAGCAGTTAAGTTTTTTTAGCCCCAACGGGGTACAGTGGTGAACAAAAATCAGTGTAAGCTTCTCACAGAAACAGTTGTACCAAACCATTGGATGAGGGAATCCTCCTAGAGCTGGTTACTGCTTAATAGTTCCTTTAATGACTTAAAGCTGCAGTTTGGTGGCACTTGGGCCTGTTTTATGTTGGGATCAGTTCCTGAGCTGGTTCCTGCTCCATGTGCTAGGCGTATGCTGGCACAAGGAGCAGCAGCCAGGGCAGGCACAGAAAGGCAGAGACATTAATTCTGTCAGCAGCACTGTCACTGGCTGCTGGTTATTATTGAGCCAGGATCTTGGATTACAATAAGGAATATGCTGGTGCCAGTTGGGAAGGGGTGTGAGCACTCTGGGAACAGCATTAAACTCCATATTCTTAGGAAAAATAAGTCATTTAAAATTAATCAAATGCATCAATACAAAATCCATAATAACCTCCTTGCCACATGTCAGACCGAGCAGTGAAGGCTGTAATCAGGTCATAAACATAGTAATAAGAACAAAGGGATATTACACAGAAAGAGTCTGTTAATATATTGTTTTAATAGCTCAATTATTGTAGTAGGAATCACATGTGAAACTTGGGTCTTTGTTGTCCCTCTGTCCAGGGCTATTGAGGTTTCAGTTCTGAGCTGCAGGCTTTAAAAATAATGATGTGACTGATGGGAATTTAGAAAAGAGCAAAAACAGTAAAGAACTTTAAAATCTTGTTTCTAAGAAAGGGTAATAGAGCTGTGTTTGCTCATTCTGGAAAATACCTGAGGGCACAGTAACTGCTCACAGGTGGAGGGAGGTGGTGGTTCATTTCCAGGTGCAAAGGAGCCTTTTCCTCACATTTCTGGATGTGCTTTGGTTGAATGCTCTGAAGCTCAGGAGCAGCTCACCCAGGCAGTTGTGGAATTCTCCCAGTGGGACTGTCTGTTCAGCCTTTCCCTCGAAGCAGAGGATGGGGCAGGCAGTCTCTGGAGATGCCTCCAGTGCTGGGTACATGTTTCATAAAAAATCTGCTGCAGAAGATGCAGGATTCCAGATATGGATAGACTTCTGCTCCTGTCCCATCCTCCTCGTGCCACATGTGAGCTCCAAGGCAACGACAGCGCGGGATTTGGGATGAGAAAGTGTCGAGGTTTTACACATCCTGTTCTGCTGCTCATCTCCTCCTCAGCTGACTCCTGTTGTAGCTGCAGCATCGTTACAAGACACTACAAGTCATTCTCACAATTTCCTGTCCTTGTATCTCCCGTTTTTTCTGCACACATGTCCTCATTCCCTTCCCATTCTCTGCTGCTGGGATTTTACAGCCTCTCCTTTGGAATCTCTCTTTCAGCTGGCTCCTGACACAGCAGAACTTGTGCCAGCTGTGGTTTGCTCTGCCAGACGGAGCACGTGCTCCCAAGATGGGTTTGCAGGCCGAGGGAGCACGTGTGACTGGAGGGAGCATGCCAGCATTGTGATTGCAGCCCAGAGGGAGGGATATTCCCTCTCCAGGCACTGGTTTAGGATGGAGGGATGGATGGCTATTCCCTCTCCAGGTGCTGGTTTGGGATGGATGGATGGATGGATGGATGGATGATGGATGGATGAATGCTGGAGGTTGGGTTGTGCTGCCTGCCTGGAGGGATCCAGGAGCTGCCTCACAGGGCAGGGTGCAGAGCTCTTGTTCCTCTCCTTGGAGCTTCACAAGCTGCTTATCAAGATTTTGTTTTAAAGGAAGTTTTAGTCTAGAGGGAAGGAGATTTCTCTGCATTTTGTTAATGATAGATGTGAAGGGACTTTGGTTCTTCATGTTCTGATCAATTTTGCCTCAGAGAACTGTGTAAAAACTTTTACATATCCCTGCTTTCTTTTCTCTCTCATTCCTTCTGCTCTCACACCCCTTTCACATCACATTCATTGCAAGATGGGTGCTAAATGAAAAAACCAAAATTAGTAGGTGAATGAAACATCAGCATGTGCATTATTAAAGTTTATAGTATTCTTTTGTATTTATACAAATACAAAAAGAATACTTGGAAACTAATTGTTAGTAAAGATGGAAATCACTGGGTTTTAGTGCCTATTTTGAAGTGTATTTATATAGAGTTTCTGCAATCAAACTCAGCCTGAGATGTGTCCCAGAGCCCAGCAGGGTACAGGAGGGAGTCAGTGTTTCCTTGACTCCAATGTCATGGATGTGTATTTTTGGGACTTCTGGTTTTGTCGCTTGCTTAATGTTTTATTTTGGTTTAATTTTCCCTCAAGGCTTTTATATTTCACCTTGGTAGTTGTTGCCAGTGGTAAATGAATCTTTTTTTGTGCCTGTGGACTTTAATTAAAGTTCTGTGGAAGTGGAGGGAAGTAGAAGGGAAGATGGAGCTGAGGATCTCCCTGGAACAGGAGACAGAACAGCGACAGAACGACCCAAGTCCTCACAGCAACAAAGTTATATTAACTTCATATTTTATTTGGCAAAAAAATAAGTTTTGTTACCATAAATCATAAAATTTATAGGGCCAGGATACTCTTAGAGATTAAGAGTTCTCTCACCCCAGGAGCTGAAGAGCTGAGGCTGGGCAGGAACTCTGAGGCTGTTCCCCATCAGGACAGAACGTCCTGTGGTGTCCCCAGAGTATCGTGTTCACCACAAGTAGCAAATGGGTACTCGGTGCCTCTCCCACGTGTGCTATAGATTGCACAGCTCTGTGTTTGGGACGTGGAGAGCTGGCACCAGCAGGGATTTAAAAGTAGATAAAATTCCAATTTGTGCCCTCCAGATAAGCGTGGTAGAAGGGCAGAGCCCTTTTCAGCATCCTGCTGGCCCCTACCTTCTGAGTTCTTCTGGAGATGGTGTCCCTGAGCTGCCCACTGGGGTTTTCAGCACTCAGTTGTAGAATTTGTGATGTTTGGGTGGTGTTGGGGTGTCAGGCTCCTGCTGTGGGAGTGTTCTGAGTGGCTGGGGAGTGCTCTGGAAATGGGAGAAAATCCTGGAATGGTTTGAGTGGGAAGGGACACCTTCCACTATCCCAGGTGGCTCCAAGCCCCGTCTAACCTGGCTGTGGGCACTTCCAGGGCTTGTGTCCAGATGGTTCAGTCTCTCCAGTAAGGAACACTCCATACCCTCTCTAGAAGCTTTTCTCATCAGAGCAGGGCTGAATTCTCTATATCCCAGTTTTTCTCACAAAACCAGGGTTGCATTCACTACAGTCAAGGTTTTCCACCCTTTCTGCAGCTGGGGTCCAGGTGTGCTGAACTGGAGGGACCAGATCTCCTCTCCTCCCACGCAGTGGGGTTGAGCCAGGAGGGGCTTCCTGGCAGTCACACCTGGAGCTGCAGAGTTACTCAGCAAAGGGCTGCTTAACAATGGGCTCAGTCATCCTTGGCCGCTGGGTTCTGTCATGAGATGTTTGTGGCAGCACTCGGGTTCAGTTCTCAGCTGGAACATGCCCGTGACACATCCCCAGGAAATGGGGGAGCTCAGGAAGGGGTGCTGCTCCTTGCTGGTGTTTGCAGGCTCATTTGAAGCTGTAAGGATTTATTATTCTGCTTTTCTCCAGGCAGCGATGGGTTCAGCTACCTGAACTCCTGCTGTGACTTCCTGTCGTGACACAGGGATTATCCCAGGGCATGTTTTGAATGAAGCAACCTTCTGGTTTTACTCCCAGCCTGTTGCTCCACTGTTTGTGTGTTCAAAGCAAGCACAGGGATTTTTATTTTGCAACTGTGATTTTATGGGCTGGGAGCAAATAATGATGTGAACAGTGTGGCGCAGCAATACCATCTGTATTGCTTTGGGGTAGATGCTGACTGAAAACTTGGCTCATAACACACTTTGTTTCTTTTAAATAAGTGAAGTTTCTACTAAGACTTTTAAAAATCCTTCTTTGACTGAGGCAAATACCAATTTCAGCCTGATACCTCCTCATTTTGCATATGTATCAAAAGACTCCCCTTTCTTCCTCAAAAATCAATGGTGTGGTTTGAGTCATCATTTCTTTTTGTGCAATAGGGATTGACTGGTGTGTCAGAAGAGGGACAGGCAGGATGAGAGACATGAAAATAATGTGGGAGAGGAGTGAAACAAAAAAGAAAGTAAAATTGGGTAATAAGGTAGAATAAATCAACATACAGAAGTAATTTAACACCACCCAGCTGCAGCATAAGGATTATTTTTTTTTTCTTGTATGCATTCAACTACAAGTTCAATTTGGACAAATACAGAGTTTTTTGGTTTTGACCAGTCCTTGCCAAAGCAATCTCAGTCCTGCCAGATCCACCAAGGGAGCAAGAGCTGTGGAGCAAGGAGCTCAGGGTGTTGTGAGGAATTTCTCATGGAAAGGGCTGTCCGGCCTGGCACAGCTGCCCAGGGCAGTGGCAGGGTCCCCATCCCTGCAGGGATTTAACAGCCCTGAGACTGTGGCTCTTGGGGCCGTGGGTGCTGTGGGATGGTGGCACTCGTTGGGCTTGAGAGCTTTTCCAACCTGTGCAATTTTAGGGTTCTGTGGTGAGTGATGCATGTGCTGTTTGCTGTAATATGAAAGCCCTGCCAAATGAGAGAGGAGCTCACTCTTCTAACAGGAATTCAGCTCTCCATCCTGGGATGTTTGCGGGTGGAATGTGAAATTCCAGAGGAGAGGGGTGGTGGTGCACTAGCTGACACACCCTGGAGTTACTTGGTCAAGTTCAAGTGGTACAAATTCCTGCCTCATCATTCAAAAGGCTAAAAATAGTCCAGACCACCAATTTATTTTCTTTTTTTCCTTATAACTTATGCTCTGCAGATGAAACTGAGTCAGACAGATGTAATTTGAGTGATTATCCCTCTTGGCTCATTCCTCCCCTTGCCTTGGTAGCTAAAGAAATCTTTGTAACCAGCACTGATATTTCCTTCCAAAACCAACTGCAGAGTGGAAACCGTTCCCTTTACAGCTTTACAGCATCTGTGCATCACAACTGCAGCTCAAAGTCTTATGGATAAATATCTTCCCAGATCAAGCACTTTGTCCTCAGCAAAACTGGCTTTTTAATTCCTAATTGATTTTTTCTGTTCACTGCTTCACTCAGGACATGCAAGTCTCCTTTCTACTCAGAGCTCTGATAGTTTCCTTTTCTATTCCTTCCAAACTGTTTTTCCCCTGTTTTTTTTTTTTTCCTGCTTTGAATTTAAGATGACAGCAGCGTTTTTATCAAATGGAAACAGCGGAATATGGAATCTGAAACCATAAACTTGTATTTAGTACACATCCTTAGTGGTTACTCAGCAATCTCAGTGTTCCAGAAAAGGTAATTTGTGAGCATAAGAACTGATGACAGTTTGTTTCCTACAGATTTTGTGTAATGGTTGGTCGACTTTGGTGTCTAAGAGACAACCAAAGAAGTCTAGTGAAGCTTTTCTCCTGGCAAGACCATTTATTTTTAAGGCTGCCAGGGGGCAGGGATAGATGGGATATTGGAATTCCTGAGTCAGATGGGACTTTGGGCAGGAATTGTTCCTTGTGAGGGTGGGCAGGGCCTGGCACAGGTGCCCAGAGCAGCTGGGGCTGCCCCTGGATCCCTGGCAGTGCCCAAGGCCAGGCTGGACAGGGCTTGGAGCAGCCTGGGACGGTGGAAGTGTCCCTGCCATGGCAGGGGTGGCACTGGGTGGGCTTTAGGGTCCCTCCCAAATCCTTCTGTGATTCCATGATAGAGGAACCTTGGATTTAGGATGGGAAATCAGATCAGTGCTTTCCTTCCTTATTCACTTTCATCTGTTAATTTTCCAGGTACACTGGACAGATGTGCTGGGTTTAAATTAAGTGTGTTTGGCATCCCTCAAGGTGTGCCAAATCCATTCCTGGTGTCAGGGAACTGCTCCATATATTAAGGTGGATATTTGGAAGCTGTTCAATCTGTACACTTATTGCAGTGCTTGCAGGGTAATTATTAATGTGCAGAGCAAGGTCCTGATTTACACAGAATTTCCTGTTCTGGGATTCTTTCACTCTGTAGCAAATACTGTAAAAATCCAACCCGATCAGAAATCCTCCCAGATTTTCATTTCACCTGAGGAATGGATGGGAAGGACAGCAGGACCCACTTCCAACTGAGGCCAGACAGAGAGTATTTATTGTTCTATGACTTCATTTATTTTGAAATTCAGTAACAAAACTGACTTTGAAAACGAAGAAGTTTTGGTACTTGCACAAGCCCTTTCCAGCTCAGGCCCCTGGTGTTTCTATCTTGTTTTGATGGGAGAAGCAGTGAAAGTTCTCAGCTGTTTGTGTGAGCAGCAGCAGTGGCTGTGCTGCACAGAGTGCTGTGTCCTCTCTGATAACCCCCTCCTGTGCTCCCTGCACAGCTCATTTTGTCCTTTTTCACTGCAGTCATTCCAGTGCTTCGGAACTTCAGGGTACTTATCCTGAAGAACAGTTTCAGGTTTCCAAGCACAGACTGCAGCTGCCAGGAAAAATAAACTTGCATTTTCAGCTCCTTCACAGCAGCTGTAACCAGGGGGGTTTTTAAACTGAGGCAGCATTGAGAACTGGGGAAATAAAGCTTGTCCAGGGCATCCTGAAACATCCTTTATATCAAGGATATTTAAACCGCTAAAGATTGTTGTATGAGTCTTTAATTTATAATTTTTGAAAACTCTTTTCTTTCCTCTGGGTAGGGTTTCTTTCTGTTTATCCCAATGTCTCAAAACATTTTCTTTTTCTTTTGTAAAACAAAGTATCTTAATTGGACTTGAACCATTTAAGCAAGTGCTTGCATGTTCCCTGCTTCAAGGTTAATAACCAGCTCTGTTTCCCAAAGTAATCGATGGCCTTTCATTGGATGTGTGTTCCATGCTCTGTGTTTTGTAACCAGTCCTGAGTCCTTCATACCTGCCAAAGGGGTTACAGATTCCACCCAGTGCCATGGACACCACATCAGCATCAGCCATGAATTATTTTGGTGAAGATTGTGGATTCCAATGCTTTGTTCACTCTCCTTCATCTTGTTTCCTTCACTTGGATACAGTTTTTGGAAAGCCACAGAAATAACATTTCTCATGCACAAGTGATCCCAGATTCATTAATGAAATAGCTTTATAAAACACAGCATTTCATCTTCAATGAATACATCCAACTTAACTCAGAAGTACTTTAGCATTTCAGTGGGAGTTCCCACATACCAAATTGCCAGAGTTGATGTATCTTGGGAAGTTGCCAGGAAGGGAAAGTGTTGCCCTAGCTGGGGTTCATTTTGCTAATGAGGATTTTTGTCTTTATTTGTTAGAGCAATAACATCATCTGATTTTAAATGTTCCAGAGCAGTAAATTATTTGAATAGCTCGGATTTATTATTATTTCTTAGTGTCACTGAGGGTTTTTTGAGTTGAACCTGTTTCTTACAGACAATCTGAAGCATTTTCTATCTTTGTAGATGCCCCGGGAGCAGACAGTGTGCAAATACTGCGGAGTCAGCTACCTGACACTCCACGAGTTCAAGGTGATGGAAGACAAAGTCAAAGCAATGGAGAAGGAGATTAAAGTTTATAAAGGAAGTCTAGAACGGGAGCAGAGGCTTCAGGCAGAATTGCAGGCTCTTCACCACGACCTTGAGCGCTGTCGGGCTGAGAGCGAATCCAAAACGGAAAGGTCAGAGCACATCATCTCCTCTGGCCATCCTCTCCTGTGTGTGGTAGGGAATTTCAGCCCCAAGCAGCTTAAAATACAAATAACATTTGTCTTTCTTTTCTCAGATGGCCCATATACCCTGTAATACTTGATTTAAATCATCTTTCATAGTATGCTTCAGATTTCCTGAGCAGTTTAGAAGCAGTCAATACATGGAAGGTGAAGGAAAGGCCACAAGGCACTCAGAGGGAGGATTTCCCCTGCACACACTCCCAAAGGGAAATGATGAAAATTTCATCTTATCATCTTGTAATAAATCTCTAATATTCCAAATAAAATTCCACAGGACTGGGAGTCCCACAGGGCTGAAATTTGGGCTGTCTCACAGTACCCTGGTAAAGAATTCCCAGTGTTCTTCCCTGGGAATCTCAGGATTCCCTCTCTGCAGGGCTGGTACAGACTCCTAGAGCAATGAGGAGCAGTTTGGGACCTGCCAGGGGCATTTTGCTTCACAAACAGGAGGTTTCAAATCCTTACAGATACAGGAAGGCTCCAGTTAAAGGGGGAGTTTTGTACTTCAAGAACTCCAGCAATTAATGATAGATCTCAAAGCCACATTTGGATTTTCAGGGCACAATTAGGACCTTCAAGTGTGTTCTATCCTTTTCCATGCACATAGCTTGGAATCTATTGTTATATTCCATTAATTGATTACAGTAGGGCTATAAATAATTGATGTGTATAGTTAATTAATAAAAGATTCTTTATAAAAATGCAGTTTGCTCAAGTCTGCTACTGATGGATTGACGCCACCAGAAACTCCTGGGTAATTTTTTGCTCATCTAACTCAAATGGATAGAAGTTTTTTTGTAAGGATGAGGTTCTAATTTTAATTTTCAGCTCAGTTTGATTTTTGGGATCCCCAGGAGGGGTGTTTCTTGTGTGACTGCCTCACACCAGGGGATCTAGAGCTGAAGGTGCTCTTGAGCTTGGACTGAAATGCTTTGGAAACCTGATTTTTTTGGAGAATCACTCAAATAGTGTTAAAAATGTAACTTGATCAATGATTTAGCTAGGGTCTTGCTTGCTAATATTACTAATAAAAGATTCATTTTAGAGCACGAGTTTCTGTAAAAGTGAACAAAATGCATTTATCTTGTAAATTACTCATAATGTTTCTTTTAGTATCTTTTTCATTTAAATTTAACATCTTCCACCCCCTCCTTCCCAATATTTAATATTTTCTGTGGTTTAATATCTATTTTCAAAGCTTGTTTTCTCCTCGTCCCTTTAACAACCCTGGGGGGCAGCTCTGGTGGCAGAATCCAGTGTGTGAGCAGATGCACTGACAGCACATTCTTCTTGTTGAGGATCATTTGCCAGAGCTAAACTTTAAATTTTCATCGAGCTGACTTTTTTGTAGTAAAGCTGGAACAGTTAATAAAACTTTTTATCTCTGCACTTGCCCCCCCTAAGGCTCCACTTGATTTAAAAGCTGCTGAAATCAATTGGAATACTTGCAGTAGGTTTCCATTCCAGCCATAAATCAACCATTGTGCCTTGTTGAATAACTTGGCTGAATATTCCTTATCTTCTCCTTGCTATCCTGGGCCTCTCTGACTGCCTTGTGCCGTGGTATAAACTCTTCACCATCCTGGGTCTGGCCAGGCTGACAAATCACTGCTCCCTGAAGCCAAAAATGCCTTTTCCTTACTTTTATCTCTGCTAGACGAAGGGATTGAATCTCTCTTATCAGTTGCAGACTGTTTCAGTTTTTTATTCCCTCTAGGATCAGGTATTTCTGTTTGTACCTGTGGTTAACCTTGAAAGCCACCTGGGAGTTCACCTGTCCTTAGTTACCTTTCCTTTGGGATCCTGGCAGGAGAAGGGGAACAAGCTGCACTGATCCCTCTCAGCTATTCAACCTTCTTCTGTGTTTAAATCACTTCAATCTTGATAATTAATTGAATTATGATTAATTTAATTAGCAAAATTCTTGCCACATCCAGTGTAGGAAATGTAAAATAGATGTAAATGCTAAGGATGTCCTCAAATGCCACATCCACACAGATCTTGAACACTTCCAGGGGTGGTGACTTCACCACTTTCTGAACTGAAAATGAGCAGCTCCTGGCTGTGAAATGAAAGTGGGCAGCTCCCAAAGTTTCATGGCAATGAAAATCCTGGGGTGGAGCTTTTTTGGGACAGAGTGTTCCAGGCTCCTCTGTGCATCCTGTCCTTGCTGGCAGTGCCAGTGCTGCTCCATCCCCTGAGAGTCCCATGCCATGGAGTGCAGGGATTATTTCTGTGCTGTGAAACCCCTTCAATCCCCTGGAACACGGGAATTGCTCCTCATTGCTTTGGGACAAGGAGGGACAGTGAAGGTGTTTGCAACTCCTTTTCCCCATGCTATTCTTCTCCTGTCAGCACGAGGAGTGAACATGTCCTGCCTCACCTCCCACTCTGGGCAGGATTCCTCCTGTGATCCTGGATGTGAGGATGGGCTGGGAGTGGGATGAGATCAGTGTGTTCCCACCATTCTCCAAATGCCAGCTTTTAATGATCCACCAGACTCTTCCTTTTGTGCTAAAAAGCCCCAAAATAACATGTTTATTTTGCTTCCTTCTGATGGTGGAGTGGAGTGCAACTGTCTTGCCTTTTCCACCGGTTCTTTTATGAGTGACAGACCAGGATATGCTGGAAACATCCCTTTAGTGTCAGCTCTGGAGAAGAAAGAGAAAGAAAACCTGTCTCTCTTTATTTACCAGTTTCTGCTTAATCCAAAAGATCTCCAAATGCTTCCCATTCTAGAACAGCAATGGAAAATGAACATCTGGCTCTCCCTGGCTCCCAGAGTTTGGATTTGTTATTGGTCAGTCTCCAGCTCGTGGAAATTTGCAGGTAGCAATGGGTAAAAGTTCCTAGAAAGGTAATGCCAGGAATGCCTTCTATTTCTAGATTTAATTTTATTTTTTTTTAATTCCAGGGACCACAATTGAACCCCAAAAACTTGCTTTTTAACCCCCAGATGTTCAGTTCAGATTTTGTCAGAGCTCTGCAGACCCAGGTTTCTTAACCAGGACTAATGTTTTTATAAATGTGCATTTTGGTGCTGATTGATGTGTTAACAGTAACTAATGCACTGTCCCAGTTTGGTTTAATTTTTATATATTTTCAGTATAAATCATTCTCCTCTGCTGTTTCAAATTGAAGCCAAGGCTGATGTAGTGCTTCTGCCAGCCTTTGGTTTTGTAAAATTCTTGTCTATTCAAATATTATTTATTTCCTTGTGGCAGTGAGTCACCAGCAGACAAATAGATCATTTTCTCTGTGTGAACAGTAAGTGTTGAAAGCTTAAACAGGGGCTGGTTTTTAACAGTTGCTTGTCACTAGAGTTGTATTTTTGGGGCTGGAAGGCTGTTTTAGGATGGTTATCTACAGAAAACAGCTGGGGCTGATGTTCTGTGTGGGATTGTTCCTCACATGTACCACAGGAAGGGAATTGCATTCAGCCCTTTTATTCCTGTGCAGTTCCATTCATTTCCTGACAATTATGGGAGCAAGTGCTGAATTGTTGAAAGAGCAATGTTTAAACTGTGTTTATTTACACTGGGACAGCTGTGCCTGAAAAACAAACTGGTGCTGTGAAGAAAAGTTCCCAAGGTAAATGTTAGAGGTGAAGAACACCTTGAAGGGGATGGTTCTGGAGGTGTTTGCTGTGCCTGAGGCCAGCACAGAGCTGGCTCCTGCCCTAGGAAAGCTAAAAGCAAAGTTGGAAGTTGATTATTGGGTATTTATAATAACAATAATTAATATATCTCTAGTAATAATAATAATAAATATTTATAGAATATATATTTATATAATTGTTTATATTATTAATAACACATAATAATCTAATAATTGGGCAAACAATTTTGATTACTTTATTTACATCTACAGGATAAAAACCCTGACAGTGGAACTTAAAAGCAAGCAGGAGGAGATGAAAACTATGAAAGCTGATTTGCAGTATTTCCAGGAGGAGAAGGAAACTGCCTCCAAGCAGTCACAGGTGCTCAGGTGAGAACCCAGAAAGAAATGCCAGTGTTGGAAATGCTCTATTTTTTACATAAAAATAGTTTATAAAGATTCACCATAAATCTGGCCATCTCAATATGATTACTCTGATTTCTCAGTCAAAAAAAAAAAGATTATACATTTTCCTGTCCAGTTTTCTTTGTTAATGCATAAAAACTCTAAACATTTAGATGGGGAAACTTACTATACATATATTCAATACACAGCTCATTTCATACACTAAATTATTGTAACTCAATGCAGTATAAATTATCAGATAATGGGAACAGAGTTGTCAAGCTTAGTCTAATTCCCAAGTTTTATTTAGAAAAGAATTTATTACACATCTGGTATATTTTCTTTCTTGCAGAACTACTTTGGAACACCATTGCTCCACTCTGAACAAGGCTGTCTCTCTGTTCCCTTTCATTAGAGGTGAATTAGACAGTATTAAAGAGGTCATCTCCACCAACCTGGAGAACTTTGCTGCCATGAAGGAAGAAATTTTCCGGCAAATAAAAGCTGTGAGCAAAGAAGCTCTGACAGGTAAAGCATCCTGCAGCCATTTTGGGCAAGAGAAAAAAGGCTCCTGCAGGGTGGTGAATTACAGAATTACAACAGCCAGAGCTTCCCAGCTGGCCCTGTGCCCACTTTTACAGCTTTAAAGTCCTTCAGATATAATATTCACACATACTCCTTTCCTAGTAGTTTTCCAGTGTGAATGAGTGGATGAGCTGCTGTTTCATTGAATCACAAAATCACAGAATATCCTGGGTTGGGGGGGATCCACAAGGATCAAGTCCAGCTCCTGGCATGCACAGGACAACCCAAAGATCCCACTGTTGACCAAATTAACCTCTGGGGGTTGGTTTGATCAGGGCTTTGAGGGCAGGCTGGGGAATGTGCTTTTCCCTCTGTCCCTGTGAGCTCCAGTGCAGATGCACAGCTCCAGTGAAACCTGGAGCAGCTCAGGAACCCTGGAGCTGTTTGTCACAGCAGCTGCCCAGTGAGCTGTGCTTCCTGGGGCACGAGCAGTGAATTCCTCAATGATTGCTTTGTTCCCACTGGGAAGGGCTCCTGGGGCAGGAAGAGCTGCCTGGAGGCACAAAGCCACTGAGACAGGAGCCAGCAGGGAGCTGAGGGCCTCAAAGGGCTCCTGGCTGCTGGAGATGTGTGCCCAGAACATCCCTCCCTAATCCTCACTCCTGGAAGAACAGTGAACTGGAGGGTCAGTGTCAATATGACACAGGAAGGTTCGTGACTCCAGGGGATTCCTCCCTTCCTGGGCTCATTCCCTGCCTGCTGTGGGCTGAAGGGAATGGCAGCACGTGCTCCTGCAGGCATTTCAACCTCACAGGGATCCTTGCATTTCAAGGCTTCTTGTCTGAAGTATTCCTTGTTCTATTTCTTGTAGTACTCCAGATACACAGAGGATCTGTGTGGAAGCAGGAATGGAGCCTTTCTTCCACAGGCTCTGTACCCCTCATGCAACATTTCCCACTTCACACCAGGAACATCCCATCCATCCTCAAATCACGCTTTCTACATCAAAACAATTTATCCCCACTTATTTTTGTTGGCCTGTGAATGCCATTTAAAAACGTTGATCTTGCTAGTGATTAACATAAAATAACAACAATCTACATGGATTTTTTTTGCCTCCTCAGAAATACCCAAATTGAACCAAAGACTGGCAAAGTCCCAGAGAGAGAACGAGTGTCTCCAGGAGAAGGTGAAACACCTCACTGAGGTGGCTGACACAGTTGAGCTGAAAACTCAGCAGCTCCAAACCTCCCTCCAGCAGGGGAGCGAGCTCCAGAGTCGGTGCCGTGAGCTGCAGAAGGAAACTCTGGGTAAGAGAAGTTTTTACCTTTTCTAGCAAAAATGCGAGGAAGAAAAATGTTTCTGAAAGCACCAAAGTTGTGGTTGTTACTGTGAAAAGACTCAACAGGCCTGAATAAAAGTCAGGTGTCAGTCAGGAGGAGGGAATGTCATCCCAAGGGGTGTGGAACTCTGCTGGGAGGGAAAGTGGAGAAAAAGAGGAAAATAATGAACACAGTGGAATACAATCCTGCTGTTAATTGTCCTTCTTAAGCAGAACATCAGACTCTGAGGGTAAAATTCAAAGAATTGGTCTCATTTTAAGTGCAGGACCAGGAAGGATTTCTGGCTCTCAGAACAGGACTGAAGGGCAGTCCAGGCCCTTTTCTGTGAGTCATTAAACAGGAGACTCTAATGATCCTCCCTTGATTGTGTCTCAGGAAGCAGAGAATGCTCTTGAGAAGGGTGAGAGCAGTGACAGCACTTGAAATGATTCCCTGGGAGCTGTGTGCAGACACAAACTCACTGCAGAAGGATTATTTATGTTGCTGTCTCTTGGCTCTCTGTTCTCTTGCATTCACAGCTCTGGCTCAGAGGTGTTTTAAGACCCTGGGGACACGTTTGAGGTTGTGCTGTTCCAGGCAGGGTTTGGAGTCCCCAGGCTGGCACAGCAGTCCCCAGCTGCCTCGTGCTCAGGGTGGGGACACACTGAGAGCAGGAGATCACCGTGGGGGGACCTCACTGCTCCTTCAGGACCTGTGCAAACACCAGATGTGAGATCCCATCCCTGAGTTACCAACCCCTGGTGCTGAGGATGGGCACAGTAATATCTTATATATTAATATTGAATTGGTTTCTTTTTACAGCAATACTGTGAGAAAGCTCCAGCAAAGACATCTCCTGTCTTTGTAGAAATAATAAGGAGCAGTGGACATAGAATCTCATCAGATGATCTCTCACACTCTGAAATATTTGGGTTAGCATTATAACACCAAACAGTTGGATTGTTGTGTTTATGCTGATAGAAAAACTGCCCTTAGCTGAGTTCCCTTTTCCCCTCTGTTTACTCAGGGGTTGCTGCAAACAGGAGTTGAGGGTTCCTTCATGAACGTGGCAAACAAACACTTTCATTTCAGCTTTTCCCTCCTTTAACTCCATGCAGAATTGCCTTGTTCTTGTCTTAAAAGAGATATTTTTACAATCTCTATTTTATTCTATTTTTCAAAAGGTTGTTTGATGTGTTCTGTGTTTTTGGGGGGCCTGCATGGCATCTTGGATATTCTCAAAACCTGAATTTTTTCCCTAAATTGACATGTAGCAACAGCCCATCACAATTAATTATCACAGAATCCTGGAATGGTTTGGGTTGGGAGGAACCTTTAAAGCTCATCCATTCCCACCCTCTGCCATTGACAGGGACACCTTCCACTATCCCAGGTTGAAAATACACAGTGAAATATAAAACAACAGAGATTTTATGGAGGAAACACAGCTAAAACTTCATGTATGGAATTCATACAGAATATTAGGACCCTGCAAACCCTTAATGATGAGTAAAAATACCATCTAAGCTGGTTGATGTTTTATGTGAGGCATTTTAAAATTGATTAATAAAAATGTAGCAGTCACTTGCTAATAAATGAGTTATTAAGAAGCAGTAAAACGTTTGATGTGGGTATCCAGAAGGAGGTTTGGAGGCAGGAAAGCTGCTGGCTCAGGCATTTGGATTCTACCCCTCCTGAATGGATCAGTAAAACACAAATCCAGGAGGATTTGAGGGGGTCTAGCTCTAGGGAACATGTTGCTGCATCAGGGTAATAAACCCAGTTAATGCACTGCTGATAAAAATGGTTCTCTTTGAAATACCAAACAGGATTTTTTTTTCATGAAACAAACATTAAATATGAAATGAGTTTGCCATTGTATTAAAATAAATGACTGGGAACAAACAACATCTTACTGGAAATCAATTCCAGGGAGTGGATTTGTCCTGTCCAAAGTCAGGGTCTGGAAATCAGCCACATCCTGAGTGTCCATGCTTTGGGGGAAGTTTAGGGTTTTGCCTTCTTTTGTTTTTTTTCCCTCCCACAAACTACTCCAAAGCCCCTCCTTGAAGTAATTTGACACTCCAGAAATAATAAAAACTACCAGGATTTGTGATTCCCATATTTTTAAAGGATTTTCCTTTCTGCAGCCAATATTTTGAGGATTCTTCTGTTGCATATTTCTCACAGCATTGTAAAGCCATGGTTATTTCACATCACAACAGGCACTAGCAAGAGCAGGAGCCCAGCAGTTGTTTCTGCTGTTGTTTTTTTGCCCTGGTGCTCACTGTGACTTTCTGAAGATTCCCTTTGTAGGGGATTTGTGGGGTCAGTTGGGTTGCTGGGTTCAAGCCACTTTTCAGCCTCATGGAGCATCACCCAGCTGGAGGGAGCTGACAGATCTTGCCAAATGCTCAGCACAGGGGAAGGGCTGCTAATTGTCTAATCAGTCAGAGCCCCCAAATCAAAAATCAGTAATGGTGATAATGTCTCTGTTCTTAGTGCTGGGAGCAGCAGCACTGCAGTAGCACAGGCTCCTAAAAGATTTCTGCTTTCATTTTATTACCACCTAAATCCTTTACTTCATCACAGATAAAGAATCATTTTTCTTCCCCAAAGTCCTTGTGGTTTTTCTGTAGCTCATGACAGCTCTGGCCTTGCTCTGGATGGGTTGAAATTGCTGGTGATGCTCCCAAAATCCAAATTTTCGGTCTTTTGCTGCTCCTGCTCCATAGGCTACTTCAGCTCCAAATACAAACTTGGTGGTCTGCTGCTATGATGAGGCTGATGAGAGATGATGGAAAACTGCAGGCAGCTGGAGGAGCTGGGGAGGGGAATGTTAGCCCTCCTCATGGAAGGGAGAGGGGAATATTTAGCCCTCCTCATGGAAGGGAGGTGTTTTCATCTCCTGAAGTGACTTTAATAGCATTTGAAAGACCACTTTGAAGAGCTTTGAAATGCAAAGGGGGAATAGTTTCCTGCACTATTAGGTAGGCTGCAGTTCAAACAGCCCCTATTCATGCTACAACTGCTGTTGAAATGTATTTTTTTATGGATTCCAACTGTGGTGGGAAGGCTTGGGAGGGTGGGAGCTGGGGAATGTGGGGCTGCTGTTGGAGCAGAGGGTGATGAGGCTCATTAGAGCTTTTCAGCAGCCTGAGTGCAAAAGGAGGCCCAGGAATAGATGGAAACCAATCCCAGTTCCCTGCCACGAGGGGCTGGGATCAGGCTGCTGCAGAGTGGGACTGAGAGAAGGACCACACTTTGCTTCTCGAGGAAAAGCAGGAATCCAGGTTCTCCTGTGGAGCCAGGCTGGGAGAGGAGAAGGATCCAAGGAGAGCTCAGAGCCCTGGCAGGGCCTGAAGGGGCTCCAGGAGAGCTGGAGAGGGACTGGGGACAAGGGATGGAGGGACAGGAGCCAGGGAATGGCTCCCAGTGCCAGAGGGCAGGGCTGGATGGGAGATTGGGCAGGAATTGTTCCTGGCAGGGTGGGCAGGGCCTGGCACAGGTGCCCAGAGCAGCTGGGGCTGCCCCTGGATCCCTGGCAGTGCCCAAGGCCAGGCTGGACACTGGGGCTGGGAACCCCTGGGACAGTGGGAGGTGTCCCTGCCATGGCAGGGGTGGCACTGGGTGGGATTTAATGTTCCTTCCAATCCAAACCATAATTCTGTATTAAAGGATGTGTCTTTATTGTATTTTGTTTTGTCTGCTTGGCCTAAGCACTGAGGGCAAAAAATCATCCCCATGGAAAATTAAGGTCAGAATCTCCATTTTTTTTTTTTTTTCCTGTTCAGTTTCCCAGCCAGTAAGTAAGGACAGTATTGCAAACCAATTTTAATGTGAAGGAGAAGCAGGTCTGTAGGACTTTTGACATATCCCAATTAGCTTGGCTTCAGACAGCCAGGAATACAGGCAGAAAATTCATCCCCTTTGATGCTGGAGTGTGAACTCTGGCCATGGATGAGCAAATCCAATCCTTCTGAGTGCAGGCGTGCTTGTAACGTGTCACTGGGGGAGTGGGAGGGGAGAAGGCTTTGCCAAAATAACATTTTTTCCCTATTTAAGGATTTTTTAGGTCCTGGAGATTGTCTTGTTTACATGGTTGCAGTTGTTGGTTTATCCTGTTGAGGGCACCGAGGCTGCCCTTGATTTGTGCCACTCAAAACTATTTAGAATTTGGTCCTTTTTCCTGCTTTTTCTCTGCTGGTTTTCTGTGTGAAGGTGAAAGAATGAAACAGAGGGCCAGAAAGCCCAGCCTGGCAGTGGTCAGCAACATATGCTGGGTGAGATAAGCCCCAGCCACTCCTCTCCTGGCACATCCTCCCTGTTCCTGGCAGCTTTGAGTGATTTGGACACTTCCTGATGGCACTGGTGAGGTCTCCAGAAAGGATCTAAATCTGGAGTCCATCCCTGGGCTCCTTCCAGACTTTTGTGAGTCACAAATTAAAAGAAGGACTTTCTTGTGTAGACAAAAAAAAAAAAATTATCTTAGAGAACACAGTAGATGAACTATTATAAATACAAATAGTTCTGTTCTGTGCAGGGACTTGGGGTGTTGCTTCACTTCTTTGGTCTTCTTACAAACACGTGATGAAGCAATGTTCTCCTGCTCTGACACAGTCATTTTTTGTGGATGTATTTCATATTTCTCAGAGTTTGTCTGCTATGCTCTATAAAGAAATGTACTGGAAACTATCTGTGTTAAATGTACATCTGAATTTGCCTGGAATTAGTGTTCTGAGAAAAATGAAAGATTTCTTTCCCCCTTTGACACAGCTCATTGGCCCAATTCAGGGCCCATACCAGGGGTAGTTATTAATTAAGTTTTAAATAATTGCTACAAGCTCCTATTTCCCAGAATACAAGGGAAATCCAGCAAGAGGGGCTGGGTTCCAGTCTGCCTTGGCCAGGGATCTCTGTGCTCTCTATTCCAATTCCTTGACCATCTTCCAGCTCTGAGCTGCCAGCGTGTTCCAGCCTGGTCCCTGATGGCTGAGAGGACCCAAAGGGCTGGAGGGGAGAGGAAGGTGGAGGATCCAAACCCTCCTTGGAGGCAGATGGGTTTGAGCCTCAAGCTGGGGCTGCCCCTGGATCCCTGGCAGTGCCCAAGGCCAGGCTGGGAGCTCCTGGGACAGTGGGAGCTGTCCCTGCCAAGGCAGGGTGGGCTTTGAGGTCCCTCCCAACCCCAAACAATCCTGGCATTCTGTTTGAGCTGTGCTTATGAACCTCCCCATAAAGTCTTAACTACAGGGAAATAACCTTTTTTTGTGCACATGTATGAAACACTGAGCTTTTATTTAGATTACCCCCAAATTATCGGAAATTGCATTGGGTTGTTTTTTGTAGATTTTGCAGGAAAAGCAGAAAATGACACAGCTCTACCACATGTGCCTCTGATCCAGCCTCACTGGGAATCTGTTAGGAATTAGCTGTGGAGCTGATGGCTTCCAGAGTGGCTGCTTACCCAATGTGCTGCTTATTTTTATTTTTCACTGAAAACTTTACCAGTTGTTGCTGTTTCCAGGCAGGAGCTGGGGCACGGTGCCCTTGGATGCAAACTGGGTGGTTAAATTCCTGAAAGCCAGCTCTGGGCAGACTCTGCTGGGTGTTTTGCACATACCAGGGGCTGCAGTGATGCAATTCACCCAGGGAAGAGGAAACAGTCCCCAGCTTTGTTCTGTTTCTGTGCTTCATCAGCTCCTGTGCCCCTCAGTCCCTGTCCTTGTCACAGCACGGGCTCACTGGAGGGTTACTGGAAGGTTTATGAGTGTGGTGAGAGCCATTCTGAGTCACAGAAATAAGTAAAATTAAAGATGAATGAAACTGAGATGGGTTTGGCCTGCTGAGTCTTTGAGATGTGGTTGTTGCAGCACTGAGCCCAGTATCAGTATCACAGTGCGAGTTCTTTCTGTTGGCTTTGCATGTTTTGCAATAGGCCTTAGCTTCATTACCAGAGAACATTTTTACATAAGTGTTTGAATACATTTTCCTCTATTCAGCAAGTTCTCAGCACAAGTTTCCATTTGTATTTCCATTCTCCTTATTAGCTGCCTCATTTTTACCATGGTTTTCATTGAAACCTGCCTCCATGGGTGTGGGACTTTCTGCTCACCAGCTCCCATTGGCTTTGGTGGGAATTCTCTCTAGAAAAGACTTGCAGAAACCATTTGTATAATTAAATCCATCTATTCCCTCATGAAAAACTCCTTTCCACGCTCAGTGAGCATGAAAACTTCTGAAAACAAATGGAGTGAAAGAGGAAACAGCGTTGAAAGAGACCACCCAAAGTACAGAACCAAACCAAACATCATCCCTCTCCTTTTCCTTTATTCCAGAACTTGTGTCCATACTCCCACACTGAGGGAGAAGAGAAAGCCACCAGAGTTATTAGTTATTGGCAGAGATAGTTTAAAATACCAATTTAAAAAGGTCAGAAAGAGCTGTTTGGGCAGCCTGTGAGGATGGGCAGAGGGTTCTGCTCTCTCTGGTGTCCTTCCCCACTAATCTGGGTTTGATCTGTTTTCACAGAGTCACGTTCCTGCTGCCACGGTCGGTCTGTTCCCAGTGTTGTGCCTCACATCTGCTTGGCAGCTGAAGCCAAATCTTCTCCCTTTGTAGGAATTCTGACAGGCACTGCCAGGAAATGAGAGTTGGGTTCTTTAGCTTTGGGAAGCTCAGGACGATGAAGGGACCAGCAGGGATTGCAGGTGGCCTGATGTGGCCAGAGGTGCTTGGCCACCACTGCTGACTCAGAGACAAGGCAAGGGGCCACCAATTGTCACAGCTCACCTGAGTCCACCTCAGAGACACCACAGCACCTGAGGGTTGGTGGTGAATTACACAAAAAAGGGTTTGATTGGTTTTGGCACCCATGGCAGGTGGTGGAGAAGGTGTTTCTACAATGAACTTCCGTGATTTTTCCAAGGGTTTAGTCAAGTCCAAGAAATTTTACTTTTCTCTTCAGAAAGCTCTTTATAAATGCTGATAGTTTGGGACTGGATGTGACAGGTCCTGTGTGTTTTACCCTATATAATTCCCTGATTTTTTTGGTTGTAATTTAATGAACAGCTTTCCTTTTCCCTTTACTGAAAAGAGGGGACTCTTCCAATTGTAGGATTTACCAAGATAAGGGGGGGCTGGCCGGAAATCCCATGCTGGCATCATCCATCATCATTGCTGGCAATGACTGAAAGAGACGTGGGAAAAATTACAGAAATTCAGAGAATTGGGGTGAAATGATAAACTGAAGAACAGGAATGACAGATTTGGCTTCTGGGAAGATACATTAGGGAACTCTAAAGGACTTTCTTGGGAGCTGTTCCCTTCAGAGACAAGGTCACCTCACTTTGCTGTTGCTTTCTGAGGAATAATCTTGGGGTTTTTTTTTCACTTCCAGATTTGTTGCAATGATTTGTCATTGGATTTTTGTCCATGTAGTTTGTCGTGCTGTCCTTTTGGTAAAAACTTTGATTTTAAATCATTCTTAGGCTTTCTGGAAAGGCAGCTCTTGTTCATGAGCATATTTAGAGATGCCTGAATTGCTGTGGCTGCCCCATCCCTGAAGTGTTCCAGGCCAGGCTGGATGGGGCTTGGACAACCTGGGACAGTGGAGGGGAGCTGGGGCTGGATGAGTTTAAGGTCCCTCCCAACCCAAGCCATTCCATGGTTCTGTGATATGCTCATGGAGATGAAAATCAGGTTAGCCACGTGCTGATGCTTCACATCTGCAAGTCGTGGCTGTTCTTAGGATTTAAAAGCATAGACAAGGATGAAATTAAGGCACACAAAACCAGATGAGATAATTTTACTAAAAAAAACAGGGATTGTACTGGGAAAAAGGCAGTGGCTGATTGGAGCTGAGGTGATGTGTTCTGAAAGATACCATTTAGAGGGTAAGACATTTTCACAACACCATGAAATTACTGCCTGGGTTTCAGATGAAGTAAATTCCAGGTGAGTTTGGGGCCACCTTCTTGCATGTGTTTGCTCTCAGCTTTATGTACAAACAATCTGATTTAAAGCATTTCACGAATTTGGTGTTTTCTGGTGGGATAAAGAACCCCAGACACACAAACAAACCCCAGTTTTTGTGTACAGACACTGCTCGTGTGCACTGCTCTGCCTGAGGTGGGAGCAAGGAGCTGCAGGTCTGACCTGGAAACAAACAACTGAAGTGGGTTAATTTCACATTAACAGGGACACAACCTCGTGTTTTTGCTTTCAGATTTAACAAATCAGGTGGAGACAGCTGGCCTGCAGCTGCAGAAGGTGACAGCAGAGATGGACCACTACAAGAAGCTGTTACTGTAAGACTCCCATTCCTTGATTGATTCCCACTGCCCATAAAGAACATAAACAATTTTTTTTTTCCCTCCAGTAAGTCCTGCTTGCCACAGTGATCTGAGAAGGTTTTGACCTACAGAGGAACTATTTTATCTTCATATGATTATTTTTAAGCTCCTGGCTGTGGGAGTAGGGCTTCCTTCTTCCAGCAGGGATTCCTGGAACTGCAGAGGAGGGATAATGAGCCTGATCCAGTGCCTCACCTTATACACAGGTGTAGGATGCATTTTGGGAAATCCATGGAACTTCAAGAATAAAAATGTTTATGGGAAGGAACATGTAGTGATAGAGCAAGGGGGAATGGCTTCCCACTGCCAGAGGGCAGGCTTAGGTGGGATATTGGGAAGGAATTGTTCCCTGGGAGGGTGGGGAGGACTGGAACAGGTTTTCCAGGGAATTTGTGGCTGCCCTTGGATCCCTGGCAGTGTCCAAGGCCAGGTTGGATGGGGCTTGGAGCCACCTTGTCTATGGAAAGTGTGGATGGAACAAGGTGGGCTTTAGGGTCCCTTCCCACCCAAACCATTCCAGGATTTTCTCCCGTTTCCAGAGCACTCCCCAGCCACTCAGAACACTCCCACAGCAGGAGCCTGACACCCCAACACCACCCAAACATCACAAATTCTACAACTGAGTGCTGAAAACCCCAGTGGGCACTGCAGCAGCTCGGGGACACCATCTCCAGGAGAATTCAGAGGGAGGTGCCAGCAGGATGCTGAAAAGGCACAAATTGTGTTTGTGGAGCTCCAAATGTGGAGCTCAGGAGCCAGGAACTGGCACTGCCAGGCTGATGACCATCCATCATCACTCTTTCCCCGTGTTTCCCTGGAATTTGAGCAGGGATTTGTGCTGTTCTGCTCTGCACTCTCTGCTTTCGGTTCCTCTATTCAGGGGGTCTGGCCATAACCGAGCTGCAAATATTTGGGATGCTTAGCAACAAAGTACTTCAGTGATAATGTAAGGATTGAGTGGGAAACAAAGATGTCATGAACACAGTTAAATAAACAACCTGGAAAGTTTCCAGCCCTTTTACCTACAAAATTGGGATTTGTTCCATTTTATTAATTTATTTCTCAAAACTGTCATCAGTGTTGCAAGATCTCACTTCTTGTTTGCAACATTTGTGATCCAGCTCAGGCTGAGATGGCACTGCGAGTGTAATTTGCAATTATTAACAACCTTTTCTGGAGCTGACAGAACTTTCTGTTCGTGGCCTTTTACTTGAAATGGAAAATCCAAGGAGGAAAAACACCCAGAAGTGAAATCCAGGCTGCTGCAGGAGTAGAGGTTCATTTCTTTGGATAATACCCTTTTTTCCCCCAATGTTTTTAGGGTGAAGTCAGCAGAACTTGATGTCTGCCAAAGTGAACTGAAAAAGATCAAATATGAAAATGGAATTGTTGAGTCCAGGTAAATGCTGAAATTATATTTCATGTTTTTGAGCAATGACAGCAAACATTTTATTAGTTTAATGCCATTTTAATGCAATATATTTTAAATTTTTTCTGTCAAGTCAGTAAATTTTACTTCATAAAGATCACATGGAGTTTTGGCCAATATTTTATTTCCCAGGCATTAGAATTTTTGTCTATAAATAAGAATATAGTAACTACAATGCTGCCACTCCTTTGTTTCATCTGTAGACTTATGAAAGAGCTGAAGGAAAAGGAAGAATCCCTTCTCATTTGCCAACAAGTCTGCAAACATTTACAGGAGGAAGTGGCTGAGAAAGAAAGGAAAGAAGAAGATCTGAAAAGAAGAACTGGGAGATCAGAGAGTGAGCTGGAAACTCTTAAAGCTCTCCTGAGCCAAACAGAGCAGGAGGTGCTGATGCTGAAACAGGAAAGGTAAAGGGAGCAGAGCTGGACTCAGGTGCTCCTGAAAATCCTGGAGATTTTGGAGGTCGTTGGATTGGTTTTTAAATTCCTACAGGACAGACAAAACTTGGATGGAAGAGGAAAAAGAAAAAGTAGTTTTAATAAATAGGAGAAGTTTTGCTTGGACTGCAGGGCTTCAGCCTGAGTTTAATCTGAGCCCCAAAGCCCCATTTCTGCAGCTGCTCTTTGTGCTAAAGGTGCAGGGAATATTCAAACCCCTGAAATGCAGAACAATTGGTGCCTCCTGGCACTTTTTAAGTGCTGAAAACAAGACTGTGGCTGTCAGGAATAAAAGCGGAGATGGAGATTCTCCTGCAGGGAATTAAAAAAAGATGGATTCAGGTTGGTGAGTCCAAAGCAAAGGCACTGCAGCTCGATCCCATTCCAGGGAAAACAGCCCTCAGAAGCACAGTGCTTTATTTTGCACATCTCAAAAGCAGTCCCAGGGACAAGGGCAGCTTTGTTCACAGCTGAGACCCTTCAGAGCCAGCCTGAACTGCTGGGAAGCTGCTCTCACACCTCCCCAAATACCAGATCCTGTCCAAGACCCTGGCTGAGGGAATACTGAGGCATTTTTGAGGTGGACAAGTTGTTAAGAACATCAATGATAGGAATTTAACCTCTCCAGGAGTCTGGCCCTGCAAACCCCACATCACAAACAGTACCTTGAACAACAAAAAGCACTCAGGGGTTTTCATCCCAAACCCATTACAGTTTTTAAATTAATGATCTTAATATTCCAAGTTCATGAAATACAAGTTCTGGTTGGAATATTTTAAGTTTCTCTGTGTTCTTTGAAATTTGTCTTGAGAAATATCAAAGAAGTATTAAAACACCATTTGAAGTGGAAGATCAAGTATGGTATTTTCTTTAAAATTCAGGAGGCAGCTGAGGGTGTAGTGGAGATTCCATATGGGCAAGGACAAGCAGGACTTCACTGCAAGGAAAGGGAATTCCAGCAGTGTGGGCAGAGCCCAGATTTACGTGGAATTTTTGTGTTTTTAGGGAGCTGCTGCTGGTGTCCCAGCAGAGCAGGACGGAGCAGCTGCAGGAGGCGCTGAGGCAGAAGGTGAGGAGCGAGGACTCCTGGAGGGACAAGGTGACTCTGGGGGCTCTGCTTTGGGAGGTTTCAGCTTCACAGAGGGCACAGGAAAGCAGGGAATGATCTCCTCCAGTGCCACATGTGGTGCAGTCATGGAATCATACACAGACTGCTGTGGAAGCAGCTCAGTCAAAAATTCCATCAGGAACACACAAATCTTGCTGCCTTTTACCCCTGGGTCTTCTGGAGCCTCAAACCCCCAAATTCACAGGGAAAAGTGTGTTTTGGGGAGCCTCCTGTTTCCAAAAGACATTTAATGTTTGCTGAAGTTCATGGAATCACAGGATCCCAGACTGGTTTGGGTTGCAAGGAGCCCCAAAGCCCACCCTGGGTAGGGACCTTCCACCATCCCAGGCTGCTCCAAGCCCTGCCCAGCCTGGCCTGGGACACTGCCAGGGATCCAGGGACAGCCACAGCTTGTCCATAATATCCTTTGTCCCAGGAGTTCTCCTGCCAGCCTCTTCCAGTGGCATTTGGGAAGCTGTTTCCCATAAATGACTGTCACCATGTCAACCGTGTTTTCATCTGGAGCTTTCACCCATGAGCACCAAAAAACCCTGAACTGAGTAAGAAATAAAAATGCATTCATATATTAAAAAGAATAAGAAATAAAAATATGTTTATGTATTAAAAAAGAATAAAATATATATATAAGATATTAAAACAAGTGTTTCTGTGAAGGAAAATTTAAAAGCAGAGTTGAACAATAACTCTGACTTGTCTGATTTAAGCCTCACATAATTGGTGACTGAAATTACTGTATTTTTAGTTTCAGTGTCTGAAAGCTTTATTTAGTGCTAGGAAAACTTGGGCACTGGTAGCAATTAGGATCAGTTACATTTCTTTGGGAACCCCTTCCCTTCCCTGTCACAGGATATCATTTGGGAGGGGCTGGCTCCATAATCACAGAGTGTTTCCAACCTGACATGAGAAGATAAAGATTGGTGGGAGGGAGAGGGAGGAATTCCAGCTTTGGTGTCAGAGACATTAAAATGCAGCCACAGCAAGGCCCCAGAATTCTGCTCAGTAGCCAAAAAAATCAACAAAGTGGCAACGTTGCCTTTGCTCTGGGCCACTGCAGAGCACCAGAGGGTCTCTGGTGCTGTTTTCTGTTTAAAATCCATATAAACCTGAAATTGTTCTAGTGGAACAACAACAAAAAAAATCACTTTTAGGGAATAATTCAAGAAATTACTCCATTGGAACACACCATATTTATGGGATCCCAGGATTATTTAGGTTGGAAAAGTTTCCCCCAAGATCATGGAGTTCAACCAAACCCCCGAGTGCCACGTCCAGTCCTTCCTTGGACACCTCCAGGAGTGACCCAATCCTTCCCTGAACCACCCTGTCCATGGAGAAATTCCTTCTGAAAAGATGGATCCACACATTTATCATCAGGATCTTTAAAATGTTAATTAATGGGGGGTGTGTAAGTGGCTTTAGATCAATTAATGGCCATTCTGCTCTCTGGGAACATCAACCTGGACTTTATTTCATTTTCTGATTCTCAGCTTTATTAATTTCAGATATTAAATGTCAAATGTTTTGAATGAGCTCAGGTTTTTGTGTTGCCTTTATTTGTTTAAGTCTTTGGAGTCAAGGAAGCTCCAACAAGTGATCATGATCTGTAATAATAGGTAGAGTTAATTTGGGAATATAATAAATATAGGGATTTACCCAACTCCCATCTAAGAATATAGATAGAATATAGAAATATATTATATAGATAGAATATTATATAGATAGAATATAAAAATAATTATAAAAAATAAATAAGAAGAGTCTAATTTGAGCATTTTACAGCAACTTTTAAGCTGTAATTTAGTGGGGGATTTGCACCTATTCCACACCCAGAATTTGGTATATTTTGGTTTAAAAAATAATGAAAATATTTCCAGTTTCTCTTTTCCTCCTAAAGACATCAGGGAGATTTATTATCCTTCTGCTCATAATAAAGGGGGGAATTAGATAATTGTAATTAAGCTCATTGTGGGCTTTTGTGCTTTTAATCATTTGAAGTAATGAGGTTTGTGTTGTGCATTTAATGTGCCTGTTGTGCTCTCAGCCTGCTGCAATAAAATCCATCAGAATCACAAAGGGAATAGGGTTAGGAACCCTGGCTTGGAGAAGTATTGCAGCCTTCAGGGTTTCCTCCAGAATCCAGAGTTTTCTGTTGGGGAATTTATGGCTGAATTTTCAGATTTGAATCGATAATGTGAATTATTTGAGATACTGTTAGGACTGGGAAAAGTCACCCAATATTCCAGCCTGGAGAAGGGTCTGGGATGAGCTTATTGTGACCTCTCAGGGCCCAAAGGGGCTCCAGGAGAGCTGGAGAGGGACTGGGGACAAGGGATGGAGGGACAGGAGCCAGGGAATGGCTGCCAGTGCCAGAGGGCAGGGCTGGATGGGATTTTGGGAATTGGGAATTCCTGGCTGGGATGGAATTCCCAGAGAAGCTGGGGCTGCTCCTGGATCCCTGGCAGTGCCCAAGGCCAGGCTGGACATTGGGACTGGAGCAGCTGGGACAATGGGAGGTGTCCCTGCCATGGCTGGGGTGAGGCTGGGTGGGATTTAAGGTCCATCCCATCCCATCCCATCCCATGGATCCCATCCCATGGATCCCATCCCATGGATCCCATCCCATCCCATCCCATCCCATGGATCCCATCCCATCCCATTTCCCATCCCATGGATCCCATCCCATTTCCCATCCCATCCCATCCCATCCCATCCCATCCCA